AGACGGTGCAAAACACCAAACTGAGCAAGTTAATCCAGAGCCAGCTCCCATGCCGATGCGCTAACGTCAACGCGCTCAACCAGTTTCGCTACTCGGCGCGCTTCCGAAGGGTGGGAAGCGCCCGGGGAGCTGCAGAAGTGCCCGAAGAGGGGCAGGAGCGGCTGTGCAGATGCCTCCCCGCTCCGCGGCAGCGCTGCACAGCCGTAGCGCCTCCAGGAAACACTAATGCGGGCAACAGCGCAAAAGGCTTAAGAGGGACCCATGCGCAAAAGCGCACACAGCATTACAGCAATGGTTTCCGTGCCATGACCTGGAGATCTTGGGTGTGGGGAGACCTATGGACAACGCCAGGCAGGAAAAATGGTCAGGTAGTTGTTTTTTTTTTTTAATGCCCAGAGAGGCTGTGGCATCTCCATCCTTGGAGACAGTCAGATGCCATCTGGACACCGTCCTGGGCAATGTGCTCTAGGCGACCCTGCTTGAGCAGGGGCTTGGACTAGGTGATCTCCAGCGGTCCCTGCCGACCTCCACCCTGCTGTGGCTCTGGGCACTCTGAGGCAGGGGGCTGCAGCCCGCCATGAGGAAACGCTTAACAAGGTCCACTGCAGAACCAAAAGCTAGAAAGCGTTGGTGCTCTGTTTGAGAGTATAACTAACTTCACGTCGCGTTGAGGGCAGACAAGGGCGAAACGCAGCAGATCGTGTCTTCATGAGAGACCAGCCAAACAAGTCACGCAGGCGCTGTGACCCTGGGATAGTAACTGCAAGCTTTCCTCGCACGAAGGAGCCGGGGAGCGCGGGCTGCTGGCCCTTGGGCCGGGGCCAGCGCAGGAGGCCTCCGGTGACCCTGGCTAACCCAGGCCACGTACCCACCATGCCTGAAGGGAAGAGCTAGAGGACTTTGACTTCATTAACTAGTCCAAGGTTGAGCGATGAGCCAGAGCAGGCTCCAGGGACGGATCGCTGGCAGCGGTTCAAGGCCTCGCACAACGCCGCTCCGAGC